CCCAGTCCCTGTGGGCCATTTTATTTTAAAATCTCTTCAACAATCAATGCCATTAGCTCAACAGATGGCTTGTTAATCTTTAGACCAACAGCCAGATTTTAAATTGCCTTCCATTTTGCAAATTCTTCTTGGAAGAAAAAAATAAATGTAATATAAGAGGAAAAAAAAATAGAATTTTGGTCCCAACCCAGACCGACCCACAGTGTATTCAGGCCTAACTTTTAAGGTCAGATTCAGCAAACTTTGGTCAGTTAGTTGATCATATATCTACAGGCAAAGAAAGTAAATACATTGATTCTTTTTTGAAAATAGTGAGCAAAATGCAGAACATTTGAGCACAGCTCTCAAACCTGATCAACTCAGTTGCCATTAGTGACAAGTGTGAATGTTTTCTCTGGACCTGCGACAGCCTTCAAAATACATCTGATAATTTCCCTGGAAATCCCAAACCTTGGCCATTACTAGATTAGATTACTGAAAGATTTCATTTTTAGTGCTCTCACTACCTGTTTTCCTGATGCTTTCAAGACCCAGTTCCCCACCATGCTATCTCAATGCACACATGGATGTGCACACGCACGCACACACACACACACACTTAAATAATTTATTTTAGCTTCTGGTTCTTTTAATGTTAAATAAGTTAGAGGCATAAAGTAGGGGTGGGTTTTCTTTTACTGTATCCCACCTCCCCGCCCCCGTGATACTGTTAGACTCTATGTCTGTTTTGTGGCCTCAAGATAATGATTTCCCTGAGCTAGTAGAAAGAAGTCCTAGACTTTAAGAAGAGCTGCCTGCCAGATCCACATGACCCACTAATTCATTTGGTGCATCTGGAACCATCCATAAGAGTGTGTGGCCAAATGATGAATTCAGGTCTTCCTTTTTCCTAAGTCCTGATTCACCTATTTGGATTTGGAAAAGGGTTGGGGAGGGCGTTTACAAATGTGTGGTAAATGAGTTTGCCTTTAGTCTGCTTTGTCTGGGTCAGATCAACCAACCTGAGGAATCAATGACATCACTTTGGGAAGCCAGGTTGATGAGAGCTCTGGAATTGGAGAAGAATATCAGGTAAAGGTAAAGACTTAGGCTCCTGACAGCAGGGCTGCACTTGACTGCTCTTGGGGCTTTATGCTGCTACTCAAGGAAATATGCTAATCAACCTTCCCTCCCCAGGAAGCTGCACCAAATGATTTTCTCCATCTTTCCCCTGAGAAGCCAGATCTTGCAGAGTGTTGAGCATGTTATCTGGGGGCTGTTTGTGAAAGGAAAACAGATGATCTCATCCTATCTTGAGGGAGCAAGAAGCTTTTTAGAATCACAGATATTCTTCATGACAACTCTGTGACAACGTAAGAACCTCAAGTGCCTTCTGAATCCTCAAAGACATTGCTGCTGATAGCCGGGACATCTATTGTTACACTGCCTGTTTCTTTGAAGACGGGAACAACGCATCAGGAGAGGCAGGTGGCGTCCTGTGAAGGACGTTAGGTGGAGAATATGGGCACACGCACGCAAATGTCCAGGGCTGACAGGTTTCCATTTCAGCACCTGTAAAATCAATGGGTGAGATCATCTCTAGGACTCTTCCAGCCCCGAGATTTTAGGAGTTCGCCTATTTCTAGTAACCTGGACATTTCATTAGGCAGAATTTTCCATTCTCTAGCTGTGCCAGATAGATGAGAGAACTTACTGAATGAATTGAATCTCGAGCCAATAAGGAAAACCTACCCACATCTCATACTGCCTTATGCTTGTTGATGTCAGAACAAGAGTCATTGTGGGTAATCATCAAAGGACGTAAAAAAGAACAACACGTACCTAGCAGAATTTGTATGTCAGTGCATTACGATCTGCCAAAGTGTTCTTGAAAGTCAAAGCTTCCATTACATAACTTTTTATCACTTTCTTAAAAATGTTCCAGTTGGGCTGGCATGTTTTATGATTTGTCTTGCTTCAGTGATAAGCACATTGTTAATGATTAGACCAAACTTCCCAGGTGTTTTTGAACGGAAGAGGCTGAGGTTGGCAGAGGGATGCCAAAGGAGGGGGTTGAACAGAGTAGCTGTTATTTAAAATATTTAAAAGGCAAAATGGCACATACACGCCTCGGATAATAGGATGATAGTGAATCTAAAAAATCTTACACTCCAAAATAGGTGGCTCTCCACGTATATAGATACGTACCAGGGTCAGAAACTTTAGCATATTGGATCAAAACCACTGTGGGTATTTTGGGGCTTTTTCTGAATAGCCAGCTGTGGGCCTTAGGAAGCCACTTCTTGGCATTGTGTGCTGTTGGTCCAGTAGGCAGAACATCCCTACAAGCTGATGAGAAGTGTGTTTCCTTCCACTTCTGGTCATGAAGGAGCCTGATAGACTGTTATTTGTTTGTTTGTTAAAGAATTAATTTTCTCCTCCAATGGCCTAACCACTCCAATTCATGGCAACCTAACTTAAAGTTGTCGGGTTTTTTTCTTTTTTTAAGATTTTATTTATTTATTCATGACAGACACAGAGAGAGAGAGAGAGAGAGAGGCAGAGACACAGGCAGAGGGAGAAGCAGGCTCCATGCAGGGAGCCCAATGCGAGACTCGATCCCGGGTCTCCAGGATCACACCCCTGGCCGAAGGCGGCTCTAAACCACTGGGCCAGCGGGGCTGCCCAAGTTGTCGTTTTTTTAAAGCACTCGCACTCACAGCACTATTAACAGAAAATCTACACATAAAATGTAGGCAGGGGAATGATTATTACCCTAGGATGCACTTCTTACCTCTTTGTATGCAGAGAGTTACAAACTCAAAAATGGGACATTGACATTGCCACCTCTGAACCAGTATGTGACTATAACACAACACTCTTCAGAGATTTTTTTTATAGGTACTTTCACTTGACTAATGCAATTGGCCATTAGGAAAACAAAAACAAAAACGAAAACAACTCTTATTAGTATGAATATAAAGGCTACTTTGGAAGAAGCAACCTGAAATGGATTATGTGATTTGCGAATGCTTTTCTAGAATGAATATGACTCATACACTGAAATAAACGCAATTAATTTTTTAAAGGATTATTTTAGCAATGCCTGGACTTTCCTATTCTTTAGGCGAATAAAAAGATACATTCAGTTAGGCATCTCTCTGTGGCAATACTTACAGATATATTAAAATGTTGTCCTCCAGGGGGCGTTAAATCTTCAGCAAAGCTCCAATTTCTCTGGAAGGCGTTCAAACCCAGTTAGCAAAATCAGACAGTCTGGCTTCTTTCTCACTGGGATGCAGAAGTGCTAGAGCCCATATTCTGAACTTCACATCTCTGACTTGCTGACGAGGCCAATCCCGTTGCCCTGGGGTATCTGCCAAGTGTAGCCTGGCCACGTTGCTGAATGTTCTACTGCAGGTCTTGGATTGGCCGACCCTCATGGTCCATGCCAATAACCTTTTAAGAGACCATTGATATGGATGGATACCATTGTGCTTTCCAAGGGCAGAAATATGATTCCTGGAGGCCGAAAGACAACCCAACATGGGTTGGAGAAGGCTCTGTGGGTCAAAATTGCGAAGGACCCATCCTTCCTACTTAAGCCCTGCAAAGGACTACTTTTGCTGTTACATGGTTAGAGACTATCACTTAGGAATCTGAAAACCTCCTGGTCTGGGAACTAGCAACTTCTGTATTAAAGTATTTGACTGTAAAGCAGTGCTGTATAGTGGTTAAGAGATGCGTAAGTTCTAAAATTGACCGACTGGATTTCAGTACCTACTGTACTCCTTTATATGGTCTAGGATCCTGAATTAATTACTGAAATTCCTGTGTCTCTGATCCCTCATTCACTAATAATTAATTATTAATTAATACGTGGATTGATTAATACAACCCAAAGAAAATACTTGGTGCTTTGTGAGTGCTCTATAAATTCTATTAATTATCTTTACTCCCAAGAATTGAGATTCCCCTTAATATGGCTCCAGCTTGGTCTCTCATTGCTCCCCTACACAAACTTCTATAGAATCATCCTAAATACCACCCTATGCTTTTACGTCTTTGCTCCATGTACCTTCCTTGACTATATCACTCTCTGATGAGATCTCATCCAAGTTCCAAGGGTTATCTGTAATGTCACCTCAAAAACAAACAAACAAACAAACACCCCACAATTCCTTACTCCAAGAACGAAATGAGCTTTCTCCTATCTCTGAACAGTAGCAGGGACACGATATCTTGATATATAGGTATATACATTTGTCAAAACTTATGAAACTGTACACTTAACATGGTGACATTTTTTAGCATCTAAATCATACCTCTACAGACCAACCCAGTAGGTACATAATGAGAAGATCTCAGCCTTCGGAGAAAGAAAGACTTGGTTCAAATTCAAGTTCTAGTACTTTCTACTTGGTAGGCCATTGAACTCCTTCCACCTGTAGTTTCCTCTAAATGGGCCAGTTGTCACGTTCTCCTTTTGTAGTGAGGGTTGAAAGACATAATAATTTTATAAAATGCCTTACACACAGTTGATGCTACACTACTGTTAGGACCTTCCTTTTCAGCATAACTATTTCTATGTTCGCCACATACCCCTGCCCACCAAAAGGTAACCTTGAGGATAGAATATGTTCTGTTTTTTTCCATGTTTCCAGTGTAGAATAAAAGTAGTGTGCTTAGCTGTTATCTTATAAATATATTTATATTTAAGTATTTATAACACAATAGCTAAACACACCAACTTTTGGACAGCAAACACCTAGCAGCATCTCAACTGAAGCCTCTGCAGGACGCCACACTGTGTATTATTACTCAGGTTTGCTAAGGCTCAGTACTTTAAAGTCTGATAGATACTTTCCTTGGTTGATAATTCAGCTATGGCTCCCCAGTGTACAGTAGGGCTTAATAACACATCTTTCATTATGATAGTTCTTTAGGTTCATAAAGGTTGCCTATTTCTCTCGAAAGCAATGGAATGGCCGTACCATTTTCTGAACCAATGAGTCACTCTGTTTTTCATGGTTCAAAGTTAAGCTTTTATTTGGTTTTAAATTAAAAAAATAAATTTCATTATTAAATAAGTGAGATGGATCTAACTTATGTTCAGATAGTAGCTTACTCAGGTTATACCACTGGGGGTACATTTCAGGGGTGGGTCACCTAAACTAAAATGAGTTGTTACGTCATCATGTTTGTTAAAAGTTCAACAGTGGCATAATTCAAAAGAAATGGAGATACAAAGTTTTAAATGTTTACAATGGATGGGAGAAGTAAACCACTTATTCTATTGCAACAGCAAACGAATCTCCTTCTCGGTGTCAGTCTGTCCAGACGCTATACCACAGTGCTAATGTCATCGGGCTCATCCGCTTTCTTCTGCCTGCTTGGCAGGGATTTCAAGTATTCAAGGTGTCTCCGGGCATCCTCCTGGTTTTGCCTCACATAATACACCACATAGGAGATCACCATGGTGAACCAGCCAAACATGGTGACCAGCATAGCATAATCGGTAGTCTTTTTCGGGAGGTTACAAAGGTCAGCATCATTGGCAGCATTGAGGAATGGTCTCCCGGCGTGTTCATCCAACACAGAAGTCTTACAGATCACATTATGGGCTGTCTCATGGTTGGATGCCATGCTCCTCAGAACTTGCTGGAGAGTACAGTCGCAGTGCCAGGGATTGTTGGCAATTCTGGCCCTGGCCTTCAGGTTATTGAAGGCATTTTTGTGCACGCTTTGAATCCGGTTGTCAGACAAGTCCAGAGTCTGCAAAGTTTCAGCTACTCCTTTGAAGGCATGCTCATCGATAAACTCAATGCCATTTTTGGACAAGTTGAGAACTCTTAGTTGATGGAGGTCCTTAAAAATCTCATTGGGGATAGAGGTGATCTGATTGGAGTCCAGATACAGTAAGACTGTTTCAGGAGGAAGATCTCTAGGTATTTCCTTGAGATTTGCATTGCTACAGGTGACATTTAAACCCCCAGAGGAAGAACAGAGACAGCCCTTGGGACACATACTGGCAGAATGAAAGCACAGTATCATAAGAACAAAACTTTGTAGGAGGAGACACATGGAGAGGGAACGGGTTAACCACAGGTCTACCAGATTCATGCTGGAATGTCAGCATAATCACAAGCCCATTCCTCATTCACTCCAACAAGCAAGCATGCCAACGGTTCCAGCCCTGTCCACACTGTTGATTTCCTTCTTGCTTGGTTCAAAAGGTTGCAACTAACACACGTGTCTCTTCATTATTCCTGTCCTTGCTTGGGTACCTAAAGGAAAGGGAAACAGATGCAATTAGCTCTTTTGCAGAGGGAGGTACATTGCAATTAAAAGTGCTCTCAGGCGTCTGGCATTCTACGTGGGTAGGAGAGTTGGTTATGTAGTTAATTTTCACCAACAGCACTGGGAGTTATCTGCATAATGGGAGTCTCATCCTCAAATCCCAGGTGTTGGGCAAAAGGACTGTCAGTATACGACAACATTTCCGAATTATGTTGCCTTGGTTTTAGTTGTACAGAATTACAGCAAACAGTCCAGATTTCTCTCATCTCTACTGGTCCTTTCAACATCCTGAACCCCTTCTAAATTAGACAGCAATAAAATTTAATTAGACCTTCCCCCCTTTCTACAGTAACAGATGCATTAGTGCAATTTAGACCTGCTCTTGAGCAGCAATGAGAAATAACACCAATATTTCATGGTTAATGACCATAGATAGCAATAATTGTCATGGCTTTTGAATGGATGTCCAGTTGGAATATTTTCTCTAAAGAAACATCTTACTTGAATTAAGAAATGAATAAATGCATTCCAACTTTCACAACAGACTATTGCTAGGGACTGAGAGACCAGAATCTCCAAAAGAGCTGTCTCCCTGATTCTCTGTTTTCTAAACAAACTATATTCTCCCCAGTAGATCTTTAGATATGACACACACCTCCAGGACTTTTTATTTTACTCATTTATTTATTCATTTTTAAGATTTTATTTAGGGGTGCCTGGGTGGCTCAGTTGGTTAAACATCTGCCTTCAGCTCAGGTCATAGTCTCAGGGTCCTGGGATCAAGCCCCACATCAACTTCCTGCTCAGTGGGGAGTCTGCTTTTCCCTCTCCCTCTCCTTCTGCTGTTCCCCTTGCTTGTGTTCTCTGGTGCTCATGTGCTCTCTCTCTCTCTCTCTCTCTCTCTCTCTCTATCTCTGTAAAATAAATAAATATAATCTTTTATTTGAGATTTTTTGAAATATTGAGATAAAATCTTTTATTTGAGAGAGAGAGAGAGAGAGAGAGCACAAACGGGAAGAGGAGCAGAGAGGAAGGGGGAGGAAAAGGGAGAGAATACCAAGAAGACTGTGCTGAGCAAAGAGCCCAACATGGGACTTGATCTCACAACCTTGAGACCATGACTGCTGAAAGGAAGAGTCTGATGCTGAACAGACTGAGCCACTCAGGCACCCCTTCAAGACTTTATAAGATATAAGAATTCAAATATATTGGCCTCTAAGACCTTCCCAATAGCCTATTTTTTCTCTCCAATCATATATATAAATAGTATATATTTAGTATATATATTATATATATATATATATATATATATATAATATTGTTGGACAGAGCTTCCAAAATGGCAAAAATTGGGACCAGTTCACTGAGGAGGTGAGTAGATTTTGAACAGATTATGTGATTCATCTGAGGTCAAATAGCTTGTAAGTGGTAGAGACAGGATTCAAGTCAAAGGCTTTGTTCTGACTTATTAATCTCCTAATTCTCTCCACTACCCCCACAGATCTCTCCCCATATCATCCGCTCTGTGAGAACAGTCAGTCAGAATCCAGGAAGCATTACTTGTTGTGATTTCTGATGCTGTTACATTGCAGCTCAAACCCAAATGGAGTACCCTATGGACTTCAATGGGGCTCCATGTCTGACTTCAGAGGGTCCTCTCTCAGGATTTGAGAAACAAGGAGAATGTACCTTCCTCTCATTTCAGTGAGCAACAAATCACTTTCTGCATGAGCAACAAATGACTCTCTGCAAACTTATCTTTTCTAAAGATCCCAGATGGATAAATACAGAGGGAAATGACTCCAAATGTTACCAAACTCACAGAAGAGAAGATTAATGTGAGCTGAAAACATAATGAACGGGGTTGTTAATCATGGAAAAAATGAGATTAGCACCAGCAGAATGGAGTGGATGTGCTTTTGGAATCCTGAGGCCCTTAAATGCCAGAGAATGCTAAAGAAGGACCCCTAGGCTTCTTAAGCCATCCATCAATAGCTCATTTCATTTGCAGTGAGTTTCCCTCCCTTCCATGTTTTCCTTCAAAAATGCATTGCATTATATTTGGGGACTCTAGTGACTGTCTAGATGGAGGAGAGGAAAAATAAACAGGTGTGGAGGTGAAGACACTCAGAGAAGAAAGAGGGTGGCAGAAGGATAAGGCAAAGGATGCTAGGATGAGAACATGAGAAGGACATAGGAAATGGGAGACACGGATGTAATTGGAGAAAATAAAAAGAGTCTATGAAATCAATCAACTCCCATCAATTGGGTATGTACCACCAGCCTAGATCCTGCTGAAAAGTGGTAAGCCTTCTCTGGAGGATACTCCACATTCCTCCGGAGATGGATTCAGAGTCTATCTGATGAAAAGTGTTCACCAATTTAGACTACAAGTTTCATGAGGGCAGGGTCTTGCTTCTGCCTCATGTAGAAACAACAGCAAACAATTAAAAAGTGAAAAGTACACTGTTTTGCCTCCCAGCTTTAATCCTTGTTAGTAATAGGCTCCTGGGCAAGTCATTTAACCTCTCTGAACCTCCTTTTCCTTATCTTTGTATAGAAATTATGAAAGAACCCAATTACAGAGTTGATTTGAAAATTATATGAGATGATCCACATAAAGCATTTATCCCAATGCCTAAAACGTAGTAAGAGTTCAATACTTGTTGGCTTCAGTTGCTATTATTATCCTAGATGCATTTTTAAATGCTACCATAGTTCTTGGCATTTGTAAGGGCTAAATAAATATTTATTGTATGAATGACCCAATAAAATATTGAAGAATCTAGCTGTGCTTTTTTTTCCCTATGGTGATTATTTTTATTTTTAATATAAACATTGGCTCATCCAATGTCTATTGGTTTTACATGTTGACATGTGGTCTTTGGAAAAAATAATGAAGGTAGGCTCTTAGTTGATGGAAGAAAGAATGGAACTTTTTTTTGGTAGGCTCCTTGAGACATAACCTTGGTTTCTCCAGAATGATCAGTCCATGGTCATGGATTTGGCTCAAACCAAGAAATGATTAGGATACATCTTGAGTTCTCTTTTTGAGATGGGATCCTTCATGCCCAAATGATCCACCTATACACTGAGGAGAATGCCTGTTAGGAACACAAATGCAAAATATCTTGCATTCAGAGAAGTTGGACTCAAACTAAGCATATCATTTTCTTTCTATGGTGTTTGATTAAAAGAGAAATAAAAGCTCTGGGACTGGCTAGATGATTGGGCTGCTATGACTCAGCCTCCAGAGCCTCCATACTCAGCCAGGACAAAGTAAGAAGAGATGCAAGAAGTAGAGAACTGAGCCCTTGGATGTCTAGGAAGCAGACAGCAAGAACCAAAGTTATTGAGTCAAGGTCATCTGCAGCCGGGAGGATGGAAGGACTGCCTCTCCACCCTATTATGCTGAAATACTATTTTCCAAAGGGATTACCAGCTTGATATTGTCTTAAATTGTGGGATAGGGGAGCCCGGGTGGTTCAGCGGTTTAGTGCCACCTTTGGCCCACGGTGTGATCCTGGAGACCCAGGATCGAGTCCCATGTCAGGCTCCCTGCATGGAGCCTGCTTCTCCCTCTGCCTGTGTCTCTGCCTCTCTCTTTCTCTGTCTTTCATGAATAAATAAATAAAATCTAAAAAAAAAAAAACACCAAAAACAAAAAACAAAAAACTGCGGGATAGGTCAATACAGGTTCTTGGAAAAGGAAGACATGAGGAGACGTGCCTCATAGGAAGAATGGTGGTATTCTTCTGACATCAGTTACCACCCAGCATAGTATAAAGATAAATAGCACCTAACTCTGAAACAAACATTCTAAACCCCAAACTCCCTCCTGCTCTGTTTCAGTTAGGTCTGCCCACAAATGCAAAGTAGCGAACAAACTATCCTGTTGGAAAAATCGAGTTCCTCCTTTCTAACTTCCAAAAGGGTATGTAGAACACAAAGAAGGGCTGGATCACACTGGTGATGGTAAGAATAAAAGCAGCATCACTGCCTGTCCTCCCAATAAGGAACCATACCAGAAAAGGGACAAAGCAAATTAAACAGCACTTTTTTCTATCTCTTGACTCTCCCCTCTGTACTTCTCAACTCTTACACTACCCTCTCCTCTTTCCCTCCTTCCATTCAAATATGTCTGGGGCAGGAAGCTACGGTATTTGAGTTGTGGTATTTAGGTAAGAGATGTGCTCCCAAAGAGGGTCACTTTATCCCCAGACCCATGACTTGCTCACATTTCCCTGTCATACAGGTATCTGAGTTATAGCAATTAATGCCTGGATTGGGTGGCAACTACCAAGTGCTGTTTTCCAAAAGAAAAAAAAAAAGTGCATTCAGTGGACTGCCTGAGAAGACAGATCTTTCGGTGGTTGATTAACAACTCTATCTTTGCTTCCTGTTCCTTTCTTCTCATCAGTAGGGGCCACTCAGGGACACTCAGGGCTTCTAACCCAAAGCTTTCATTAACTCTTCTGAGATAAGTGAGTCCACCGATTCAGGAAGAAATACCAGATACACCGATTTGTCCTGATTCCATTCCATGCAACTCTGCTACCAAAAAGGATTTGATTAAAAAGTACAACATTGCAACACAGGCCTTTCGATTTGGGAAGTAAAATTCAAATCACTGAGAAAAATACCAAACCTCATAAATTTTAAGGACTTGAAATTAAAACTTCCATATGGCAAAAAAGTAAGACAATACACAATACAAAAGGACTGATGATAAAATAAAGGATTGATTTCTTTAATATACAAGAAATTCTTGCAAAGGGATAAGAAACTGATCTAACAGAAAAATGGACAGAAAAATAATGTAGACAAATGACCAATAAATCATATGAAAAGGTCCTTGATCTCACTGACAGTAAAATAGATTCAAGTTAAAGTACCTAACATCTTGGTTAAAATGAGGAAGAATATCTACTTTCACTGAAGGCATAAAAACAAAGCACTCTCAAATACCCGATGAGGAGATACTTAG